TATTTCACCCTAATGTTTATACTGACGGAAGCATATGTTTGGATATTCTATCTAGCGCTTGGAGTCCCACTTACGATGTACTTGCCATCTTAACTTCAATACAGTCGCTTCTGGATGAACCAAATCCAAATTCACCCGCAAATAGCATGGCGGCCCAACTCTACCTAGAGAATCGGCGCGAGTACAGGAAACGGGTTAGGGCGTGCGTTGAGGATAGCTGGTATGAAGACGATTCTTAGATTCTCAGACTAACTGCCCATCTTATTTTTGATTGCGTCATCTATCCCATTGTTTTCAGAGACCGCGTTCTTTGTGTACATATCCATTATCCACTTTTAGGACGCCTCCATTCTATCCTTTGTATCTTCTGTTTATTTTCACATGCTTCAGCTCAACATTTATAATTTAACCCCAGTAATATTTACTACGCCTGTGATTTTCAAATAATTAGGATAGAATTTGCTTTCTGCATTTTAGTAAATAAACTGTCTCCTTGCGTTTTCGTTCTTTATTTTTCACTAACAAGACTCCACCAATTTATTGTTGCATACTGATTAAATCTAAAGTTATGCACGAATGTTGGCAGAATGTCTACTTCTGGAAGCCATTTTTTCGCGGATTACACTGTTAGCTCTTGCTTTGAGAAAGATTTTGCTCATTGATCTTTTATTTTTGCCCTGTCGTTTCAAGATAATTTGTTTGACAGATCTAGGTCATTACCCACTTTAATATTGACTTATTCATAAAACCGTAAGGGGTCTGGTATGCTTGATTTTATTTGTGTGCTATGTGGTTTCAAGATCTTATGGCCCTGCATCTCTTTACCTTGTGCATCGCTCAGATAAGTAAAAATAATTGTGTAGCTTTTTGCTAATATACATCCTTTTACTTTCTTTTGGTTCTTAGCGTTATCTTTTATATTCAGTTGCTCAAGGCTTTGCTCATGCTTAGTAATATGTATTCTTATAATTAGCGCTTCCAACGCGTTGTTTCGACCTATAAGCCTTTTCTGATTTTTTTTTACTCTTTTAGTGAGTTCGTGCTTTTGTGAGCCTATTTTGTATTCATTATCATATATTTCCTGACTGCTTAATTTTATTATTTATGGTGACTCCGCATACTCATGACTTTTCTTAGACGATAATCATTTTGACTTGTGGTTTGGATATAGACGCAACAATTTTTATTATGCCGGAAGCAGCTTATCTTTTACTAGATTAGGTCATCGGGTAGTCACCTTCCTTATTTAGCCCAATCTCGACTTCAAAACATCTAATACATTCAGATGTTGTATGCTTACTGTTAGCTCAAGTCTTCGCTCTTCCCCACGAGTCGCCGACTAGCTTTTCAATTTTAATTTCTGAGCTACATTTTAACAGAACACCGGACCCCTTAATGATGATTGCTAGTTGATTCCATTATGCTCTTATGATACCGTCTTGATTCTCATGATCGTATTTGGTATAAATTAATAATGTCTGATCTTTTACAAGATTCCTCTGCAAACTCCTTTACCATTATGGACCCTGGCTTGGGTCTTTCAGATCCGGTTGTGGATAGTGGGGATAGATTGACTCGGTTTATCTTTCACATGCTAACTGAAATACTGCTTGTAGCTACCATTTGTTAATTTTTTGTGCCTCAGTCTACTTAATGAGGCTTCGTTGAGTTATTTAAATTTTGGTAGGCTTTGCTACATCTTAATTAGACATTTCGTAGCTCCTGTCGTCTATTCATGCTTTTGGTAATGTGATTTCGGAATACTTATCTTATTAGTTTCTTCTAAATAATCAACGCTGAAAGTTTAGATCACTCTCAGGTAAGAATTTATAGTGGTGTCTAGTAGGGTTCTTTTTATTCATCAGGGATCAACTAAATAGTACTTGTCCCTTCTATTGCTATATTAGAATTCTGCTTGTCCTTAACCCTCTTGCTCTATGCACCTCTTAAGCTAACTCTTTTGATTAGAAACATAAACCCTGTGGTTGATTGCTGCATGACCGCATCTTTAGTCTGCAAATCAATCAAGTATCTTGGCGAACTTTGATACGCGTTCTCTGTTTCCCGATTCATTTAATGCCCCATTACGGTATGGCATTTAGATTTCAAACTAGCTCATACAAGCTCACTCTTTTCCTTATTTCATTAGGACGGATAGTTTGGCTATTTGAGTATTTCTTTTGCCTTTCTAATCAAGGATTCGATTCTTTTTGCATGTGTTGAACTCTGCGATACTTATTATTGCAAAACCGCTTGCCATCAGGAAGCTTCAATTCAAGCTTGGAAGGCTAGCAATGCAAAACTCTTCTCACCGTAATGGTGGTTTAACCTTATTTTTGCCAGAGGTACCTTGATGAACGCACCCTGTCCGGCGTCCTCCGACAGTATTATTAATACTTTACAACATGGTGTATTTCCTAGATTCTCCAATGCTTTCTGATTTCGCCGGTGAGTCTTATCATGCTTACTATCAAGCTAATACTTGAATGAGTCCTATTAAACGCATTAAGTAATAAGGACGCGGTTGTAGTGACCAGGCGAAATTAGCAAATCAAGAAGATGAGGAACGCATCGTCGAGACCATAACAGTAATCCTGATATGAGTTGGACGAAGCTGCTTGCATAATGAAGAGGCGAAGTCAGATCGTCGATTCTGGCACGTCCCACTAAATTTACTTAGAATGGCACCTCTTTATTAGCTCAGGCAGAATAAATTACAG